TTTTTTTTTTTTTTTTTTTCTTTCAAATTTGTCGTGATTTCGCTGGTCTACCTTCGATTCCAGGCATTCTCGACGACAAAAACGAAGAGTTATTAGACGTACGAAAAATTTTACATGCGATACGTACTTCTATACTTTTAGTTAGAAGTTCAAACAAGTCTGTATCAAATCATTCGCGTATTTGTTTTTAATCTTCAAACATATCGTGTAATTATTGCCGTTCATAAAATTCGAACTTCCTGAGCTACTCAAAATGACATTTTTCAACTCAAAATGTCAGTGGCAATAATTTCGATGCCACGTGCGATTTCTTGTATATAGTGCGTTGTGACATTGATAATAAAGTAGTTCGAACAATTTTAGTGTGGCTTTTATCGAGCTAAAACACGAAGAGTGCACTTTACCAACTACTTTATTCATAATTGTCTTGTGAAATATATCAGCGGCGAAATTATATTGACTAGTGAGATCAAATTGTAAAATTGTAAAATTAAAAGACTCGATTATTGCATTAAAATTCGATTGAGAGGGAGTTGAAGAAATACTCTGTCCGCAATATATCCTTGACCAAGATCACGAACAAGGTTCGTTAAACTTTCTATTGATCACCATAAGTTTCTTTCAGAAAATTGTCTTACGTATATCAATTAGTCACTCAAATAAACCTTTTGAATTAAATTGGTCCCAAGACTTAAAAAACCTAGATTGTATCAACTTTGTTTTACTATCTCAACAAAACTTTGCTCATAGATAAAAAATAAAATACACTTACATATATATAGTAATTATCTCTTGCAAAATTCACTAACAGGTAATCTATCTTCCTGTATCATTTTTCATACAGTCTCATTATTGCAGTGTATAACTCCACTTAACAATTATTCAATTATTTATAAATCTGTCAGAAACATCGCAATAGAAAAAAAGAAAAATCTTCACAAAATCTAGCACTCTAAATTCGTGATTAAATGTAATCAACCGAGGTTCGTATCGTCAGTTGACGAAGATGTTTGAAAATCGTTTGCAAAATGCAGATAACAAGTGGACCTCCTTCGTCCACCGAGACGAGATATCAATCTGAACTTCGTGTTCTCTAGTTCGCCAAAGACATCAATCGTGTGCATGTATTGTATGTAAGTACGTATGTACGTGTGCACTAGCACAGGGAAAGCATGCATCGAAACAACGAACGAATTGAGCAAAAATATCATTCCATAAAATTTCACAAGCTGTCGCTGCGCGTTTGCAGTCGCATTAATTGCTCTCCTCTTTAGGATTACCGAATATTAACGAGTAAAGCACGCCCAAACATATCCGCAAAGCGCCTTATGCGATTCGGAATTTTTCCGGAATTTTTCATCTCTACGAAATCTTCTGGAAACGTATTATTCAATTGAAAATAAACAACTTGCTTTTTATTAAAAACGTAGAAATATTCCACGAATGATCCGTAAATATTTATGAATATTGAAACGAGATACCTGACGTGACAAATTTTGTTCAAAGATATACGTCCGAATATAATATTGAAAAATATTTGAATAAAATTTATCGTAATTGAAAATCATTTCCGTGTACTAATTTAAAAGGAAACAGTAATTCTATGAATCTAGGGTAGAGAAATTTGGAAATCCAATGTTTCGAAGCCAAGTTTAATTGAAATTTAAAAATCGAAGAATTAAAAGACATTTTAATTCGCGAAAAAGAGCTCTACGTATCCGAAAGCTCACAAATATTTATTCGATTTCAACTTCTCAGTAGTAGACTGCGGATTTTTACACACCTCTAGAAAATTTGAAGACAGAAAAATCCAAATATAGAGATGCTCAAAGTACTTACTGTAGTATCTAGTACCATTACCAAATACCCTTACTGTTACAATATTCACTAGATGAAACAATACTCTACCCAAACTCCACTCTCTTGAGAATACAAATTTACGTAAATAATCCGCTGTCTTCAACAGCAAAAATCGAAGCTCAAACATCTGTTAGTACGTCGTATCACTCGACACACTCGGCGACCATTCGTACGTTTCCTGAAATTTTCGTTCGATCGAAGAGACAGATCTGTACGTAAGAAACGAACCATCCATCCACTGGCTCCAACACGCATCGAGCGCAATCGGCGGTTGTTTCTTTCTTTTTTTCTTTTTTTTTTTCGAATACGGCAGGCATACTAACGTACAACTCGTGCACATCGATCATGCGAGAGGGGGAGGGGGAGGGTTGCGAGCGTGAAGGGATGAAAAGAAAGAGAAAAAACGTAGCTCAGGAAGCGGGTTTCGAGCGGAATCGGGCCAAGCTTGTGTGCAACGGTGCATGGGAGTGGGAGGTGGGGGGTTGCATAGGACGTGCACGCGACTCGCTTCCACGGTTTTCCACGTTCGAACGCCCGCCGCGCGATGCTCTTTGCCGAAACGAATGATGCACGACCGTATGGGAAACCGAGATCAATTCCACTGAATGGCGGAGTTCTTCCGGTCCGCCAGCTAGTTTTCGCTCGGCCGATCGAGACGAGACGAGACGAAAGTTCCCCGGCGAGAAGTTTGTTTGTGACTCACCGTGACCGATGCCGTACATCCGACACTTTCCAATTGCTTCCGTCGCTACCGATTCTTTTTTCTCCGATCCCTTTGACCGATACACGTCGATATACGCGGGGAATTTTTGAAGATAAATTGTTGGTTATTTTTTTTCGAGAAGACGAATGTTTTCTCTTGGGGGAGGAGGGAGGAGGGGACTTTAACGGTAGAACTACCACCATAGTCGAAATATGTACATTTTTATAGTTTTTTTTTTCTTTTTTTTGATAGAAATTTGGTGTATTCTTGAATAATGAACCAATTATGAATCTGTGATTTTTAGAGATCCACAGAGCTTCTACAATATTCTTCCGTGAAATACGTGGATGAAGTTATGAAATTTTTTTTTATAGATTTTCTAGAATTTTTTGGTATAGATCAGACACTCTAGGTTTAGGTTAGTTCTAACGTTTTGTACTTGAAAGGTGCAATGTAACAAAATGAAATTTTAAAAGAATTTCGAAAGAAACAATCACTCTTGGTAGAAAAAATCGAAAACACAAATTAAGTAAAACTCGAGCAACGATCACTTCAGCGAAAGTTGAACTGGACCAACGAAACACCGGTCCAGGGAAAATCCATTTACCAACACCATGAGAATACCGACGGCTCGATAAAGGTAAAAACGTAAATACGATAAATCGTGCGCCCGAATTCAAATAAAAGTCTGCGCGAAACCCGCGGCCCGCGATTGTTCGTCAAATCCAAAATTCTTTTCATCGTATTTACAGGAAAGAGGATCGACCTTCCCTTAGTAAAACAAAATGAAGAAAAAAGAAAGAAAGAAAAGAGAAATCAAAGAAACGGTCGCCTGAAACGGCCGAAAAGAGTACGATCCACGGATAAACGAATAAATAAAAGCCGATAAGAGAACGGAGCAAAGGAAAGGGACAAAAAAAAAAAAAAAAAAAAAAAAAAAAAAAAAAGAAAAGAAAAGAAAAGAAAAAAGGGAAATATGTACACCGTGAATGGTTCGATTTGCATGGTGAACGCGGCCGGAAAAATCGCATCGGCGCTGGCGACGTGGAAAAAAGGGGGAGCGAGAAAGAGAGAGAAAGAGAGAGAGAGAGAGAAAGAGAGTGAGAGAGAGAGAGAGAGAAAGAAGCGCGACTCTGGCGGGCGTGGCGAGGCGAAAAAAGGAACGACACACCGTGTATTGTGTAGAACGAGGCCGATGGCGGCACGGCGGAAGGCGAAAAAGAGAGGCGATGGCTTGCATAAAAACACCGGCTATGAAATGCAAAATCAGCACACGCTCGTGCGTGGGCCGTGTGTCGCGTATGCGTTTGGGAAATCGATACGATCGGTCGCCAGCGTACAGACACCAAACCTCGACAGCCCCGTGATTCGCCGTTTGATTCTTTTCGTCCTTTGACGCTTGACCATTCCATTCCTTTCCTGGCACGTTTTGCTTTCTGCAAAGAAGAATCGCGCGATCCGCGATGACACCGGACCTCATTGAGGAAAAGGAGTCAGGCCGCGTCGTATCGATTCCCCGCGTGTATATAGTATCTCGTGACGTGCCGTGGCGTGTCCACTTGTGGCGTTTTCAACGGAACGTTCCTCGTCGAGACGTAGAAATGGCTCACTCTCTCTTTTCGTATATGACGAGTCGAAGGCTTTATCTTTCTTTTTTTTTTTTGAATTGAAGAAATAGAAAGAAATTTTCTGGTAGTTGAATGAAAGAATTTCGTCATCATGACATGTATAACAGAAATAGAAAGGTTCGTCGAATATGACGAGTTGAGATTTTATTTGAAAGATTGTGCGGAGGAAACAAAATAGGAAATTCCAATGGAATTCTGTTGAATTCCATTCTGATAGAATTCTATTATTGCCACAAGGTTGTTTAATAATGGAAATCGAGTTTAATTTGTACGATCTTTCACTCTGCTATAAAAATCTGTTGCCGAATTACTCATATATAGATGTGTCTTACACAACAGTTTAAAACAGAATGTCCTGCACTTGTTCCATGATAATATTTAAGTTTTAAACGTGATTACTTGTTTCAACAAGCGACAGTTACTTGTTTATCGTCGTCGTCTTCTTTCTTTGATTTTTGAGTCACGTGATATATATGTATGCATAAATGGAATTGAGTTCCTGGATGTATATTTCCCCGGGGAAACGAGTGTGAAATAGAATGATGAAACGCACGATGAAAATAGCAAATATAACATTTTCTAAATGCAAGTTGAACAGACATTCAACAAAATAAAAAAGTAAAATTTAAAATTTACATTGAGCATTTTTAATTCAGTATTACATCATCAATCTTCACCAGGTAAGAATATTTTTACTTTGAGAAGGAACTTGTTTAAAATTTAGTATCCAAACCTCGAAATTATAATTTTCATACCAGGCACGTGTCTAACAATAAGTGCAAGAAGCTTTCAGAAAGAATATTCTTCAAATCTGAATATCTATTTCTGTCTAACCTTTATTATCTGCTTCTCGTTCAAAGACGATTAAAAAACGAAAGTCATAGTAATAAACCATTTCTTCGTCTCCGGAGGATCGATCGCGTTGGATCACGTTGTGGTCCTGATTGTGTACGCAAGCGGATGCACTAAATGGATCGAGGGTGAGCGAAAAAATGTTGCGACTCGCTTGCGAGAAGGAAGCGTATGAAGTAGAAAACAACAGGAGAATGAAGAGAGATAGAATGAAACAGAGCAGTGAGAATGATAGAAGAGACGGAAAAGACAGAAGGTTGCTTGATCATGTCTGCGAATATATGATACATGTACAGCGATATAATATATTATAGTGTAATGAATGAAATTTATATATATACAAACATTATGTAGTATGTAATATGTAGAGATAGAGAGATAGATAGATAGAGAGAGAGAATGAAAGAAAATGAAGACAGAGCGAAAGAGAGACAGACAGATAGAAAATGGAAGAAGAAAAAACTAGAGAAAAAGCTGGCGGCGAATTACCTTGAAGGACTGCACAGAGAAACCAGAAACCAGGGTTGGTCCGTAACATAAGAAGCGAACAGAAAACAGAAAAAAGGTAAACTTGTAATTAGGTTGTTCGCTGTAAGAGACACTTGCTGTGATATGAGAAAAGATTGGTTCGTTCAATCGTGGTTGATAGGGAGAACTGGATCGCTCCGATAGTTTTTTAATCCCTTCGATTTACGTTATCCTCACGTTCGACGCGTTCTTCCTGCTCCCTCTGTTATCCGGTATTCGTTTGTTCTTTTTATCTCATACCTTTCCTTCTTTCGTTCCTTTTCTTTTTCTTTTTTTTTTTTTTTGCAGTGAAATAAAAAAAGGCAGAACCAGCGAGAAACGAACGAGCGGAGGAAGAACGCGCGAACGCCAGCGAAACGTTGTCTGTCTGCATAGCTTCAAGCGCTTGCAAGAGTATAAGTTGGTTCTGCGTGCAAAAAGGGGGGGCAGGAATGGAGAATCTCTTCGTGTCTTTTTTCACTTTTTGTTTTTCTTTTCTTTTTCTTTTTCTTTTAACTGTCGAACGATGTATCCAATGTGCGCTACGGGGTGCTGCAAAAATTCTTGCCATGTCAAAAGGTTTGTGACGCTTCGGCCATACGCCTGTGATCGTAGATCGAGGGAAATTATTTAACATTCTGTAAATCAACGATGGTAATCAACAATTGGTAATGTTAAGTGAAAACCATCCAACGATATTACTTGACAATCTCGAATGGTTCGAACAATTGTAGAAATAATTTCTCTCGATACCTCGATGTTCTCACCGGTTGTAACAATACAATGGTGCCGAGTATTAAAAACGGCACCGGATGTGAACGAAATGTTATACCCACGAATATCACTTACTGTCTAAAACTCTTTACAACCTCTTTACTCGTGATATTCGTGAGCGTAGAAAGTTGAAGGGAGAGTAAATTCGTGAACAAGGGAGAGTACCGAGTGTCATAAAGAGTCACCGCGAGCAAGTGAAAGACAGAAGTCGAATTATCAATGACAATTAACTCGAGAAACATCGTCTCGTACGCCGTGTAAATTGTAATTGTATTTTCATTTCGTCCGTGGCTGCTCGTTCCCAATGTTTTGACTTCGTTTTGACGATCGTTACTTCACTTCTCTGGCCTGCTGCCTCCTTCACCTCACCTCCCCCCCCCCCCCCCCCCCCCCCCTCGCCCGCTTTTGACAAACATAAAATTCCCTCGCGAGGGCTGACGAGCCGGTTTGGCTGGCTCGTTTTCATTTTGCCTGATGTACTGACAATTAATTATCGTCTATGATTTTGCAAATGTCAACGTGTCGCTCATATCCGGCAACGGTTCCACCTACTGAACACGACATACGGATGCATTTGATGTGTCAATTGCACGGCCGTACACGCCATAAACAAATACCGTGACGCCGTTTATGTGTGGGAAGCGTAAGTGAATAAATTGCGCACGATAATCGAGCACGCTTGATTACCACGGTGATTTGATGAAAACAGAAAACACTTCACCCCTCCCCCCTTTCATTGTGTAGTATATGTGTCCCGAAATATCAAATATCAGACGCTAATTTACAGACGGATATATGCATGGCTTCACATCACTACGTGTGTTAGTGAATTTTTAATCTTTTTTTTAAAAAAGTAATTTTAAAAAGTTCTTTTAGAAAATCACTTTCATTGAAATAATTTCTGAATGATCTTTGAACTGAAATAATTTTGAATATTTTTCTCCATTTCTTATTAATTAATTATGCCTCGGATTTTATTCAATATTTCCCCTCTGTACAACGTATAAAAATCAAATTACATTATTGTACATTATTGCTCGTTCGTTAAAATTGACGAAAGAAAATAAATGCGAGCAACGTCATCGTAAAATAAAATTTTTATCACCGTTCTCCTGAAAGGACAGATAAACATATCTACATTAATTTCCCGCAAATTTTCATGTCGTGGCCTCATTGTCGTTTCAACAAACGGGGTTCCCCAACGTTTTAATAAACTCGCGAGGCAATAAAAAACCACGAGACTGTTACTTTTTAAAAATAAGAGAAATAAAAGTATGTCAAACATGTCAGAACAGCGGTGGATAATAGAATTCAAAATTACGTAATCTGAAAATAATTTTGGGTCTGTTAAATGAGAAACTAGTACCACCAGATTTACAATTCGACGTTTGCACATCCTGATAGAATAATCATTCTGTATATAATGAATCGCGCGACACCTCTATCAAGAATGTAAAATTTCCAGCAAAAAGAAGGAAAGAAAAAAAAAAAAGAATGCCGCACTATCGATGAATATTTATTGAAACGTTATGACCCGTGGAATTACATCATTAGTCATTATGCGAACGAAAGGAACGCAGAAATGGAAAAATATAAAATCGAATGACGAACGCTACTTCGTAATTTCACGATAATGTCCTCTCTGCCGCGAGGCAGAATTCGATTTCGGAAAATTGTATTTCTGCATTTCTGTATTTCCATGGAAATATGCAATATTCCGTCGTAAATATGTACGATCACTTTGTTGCAATTTAATGAGATTATTCAGCGTTCCAGCTTGTAACGCGAGACAATGGGAACCAATCAAAAGAACAATTTCACCGTCATTGTCGAAACGATTCCGTCTTTTGAAATTTTCTATGAAAACCGAGACGAAATCATATTTTAACTTTCGCTCTTTTTTAAATACAAAGGTTCCTGATCTTTTTTTTTTTTTTTAAGCAACAGACGTGATAATACGCTTATCAAATCCTCAAAATCAAAAGAATTATAATATGAGCAAAGATACGACGCAGATCGAGTGTTAAATATTTTTCGAGAATTGATTCTTTTTTTTAAATTGAGAGTCGCGTTATAATTTTTTCTCAATTCCTCCAAAATCCAATGATCGCTCTGAGACTGAATCTCCTGACCTAACACTTATTGAATTAATTTTTACACCTAAAGAGGAAGTTTTCATCGAGGAAATATCTTTGCCAACGTTAAACTAAAAGCTTGAAATTCAGATTCTAGAAAAAGAATTAGATTGTTTCGCAACACAATTGTGTAAACCGTAACTCGTTAATATTCCGTCGGAGTGATAAAAATGCAATGCGCGTCGTTGTTGCGAGAGAATTTTCCCTCCGTGCTTTTTACGTTTCACGTTTCCTGTCCAATATCTGAAATACAAACGTCCGCCGGTTTTTCAAGAGCAATGTGAATCACGAAACGTCGATCTTCTTCTACGGTTGCATCACCATCTGTTTGGTAATGCAATTCAGATGCTCCCGCGGAAAATGAAGGAGACGTGAGAATGCAGTTGCAAGCAAGATACACGTTTCATTGTGTATCGATGTAATTCGATTTCGTACGTGATTTCATCGGATACAACTTTCCTATCTACCGAGGCCAAATCCCTTTTTCAACAGTTTTCCACGAAACGAAATACCAACACCTTCGTTTCCATAGACCAGTGATGGCGAACCTTTTTGAGAAGTAGGTTAAATTTTGTTCATTACTTTTTTTTTTTAGTACTAGCCGTGGGTTACTAAGTCAGTCACTTGGAAAGGGGGAGCGGAGGATGGTTAAAAATTACTTTCTTTTGGTTCTCACTTTTATAATTCTTTAAAAAATTTACGTTTCCTTTTTTGTTTTGCAACGTTTACTTTTGCAAGTGAAGAGCAAAAAATAAATAAAAATTGATACAAAAGGAGTAACATCGTGCCCAGTCACCCCTGCACTATACATTAGATATATATACTTTATTTCTTATTTATTATATACTTTATTATATATATATATATATCTTATTTATTATATTTTACTTTATTATTATATATATATACTTTATTTCTTATATTTTTTATTGTCTGTTCTCTCTTTTATTATATAAAAAACTGGCAACTAGCTACCCATTCTGAGAATGGGATCTATTGTGGTTTTTAGTGTTTATTACAACTGTTTAATCGTAAGCGTTAAAATAAAATTTTTTCGACACAACTAACTCGTATAACATTTAAGACTTATCTATATGTATACATAACCAAGTCGTAAATCCTCTGTAAAACACAATTATGCATTTATTTCTCACTTTTAAGCTCTAACCGAACACTTGTAATTTTCTTAACATTTTTTGAAAAGAGGGGTTCGAAAAATAATTAAAATTCTTTACGTATATGATGATAAGTTTATAAAAATCAACGCGTGGATCATTTAAAAAGCCTGTCTGACCCGCGGGTCATAGGTTCGCCATCATTGTCATAGACCACACTTTCGGCTCTCCTCTAACATTGTCCTGAAAGCTCGGTAATTCGTGAACTTGGAAAAAGTACAACAATGTTAATAACGCAAGCATCAATGCGATAGGTGAATAACGTGATACACGTGCGTGTATAATCTGCGATGAAATTGAAATTATTGGATGGAATTTAATTAATCAATCATTTGGTATTTGAAGAATTAAACAATTAAAGTAAATCTTGATGCATTTCATCTGTCGGGTTAAAAATGCAGAAACAACGTTGCAGCGACGCTTTGGACAAATTTTTCACCTTTGGAATAAATAGTTTTAGTTTCACTGTCGTAGTTCTATTTATTATTCCATTTTATTACTACGTATTTCAGCATTATTCATCGTCACATTTTTGCTCACATTTGCTTCCTCCTTTGCAGAAAAATAATGCTTCGAATAAAAAGAGACCTTTTCGATCGCACAATGTCACTTCGAAATCGAATTAACCAGAAAAGAAGATCCCATTGACTGCACGAAACAACAATAAATCTCGACTTTCGAATTTCAAATTGTCTACTCAGTTGCAATCAACAATTGAAATAATTCGAAATGAAAGACAGAGTAAATAAATTCTAGAAAACTAGCGTTTTTATTTTCTCTCGTCAAGGGGAATTAATTGCAATGTGTCTGTTCGATTGCGATTGATAATCAATGGCAGCCGGCGAGACGAGTCAGTTACGAGAATTTCGCGCGAAACGTGTTCGAAAGAGAGGATGGGGCAGGAAGC